GGAGAGGAAGCCCTGGGGAGAGCTAGATCCGCTGCAGCTGCCCCGACCGACTTACTGACTGTTCCTTATTTGCTAGTGACACCCACTGATGTGACACCAACTACCTTTTCTCCACCCACCTGAATTTTACAGGAACCACATTTGATATGCCATAGAATGCCACATCTATGCCAAGAATACTATTTTAGGTACTGATCGCAATCCTGGATTCGTTACTGTTTACAATCTCCTCTTTACTACTTGGAGGACTTTAATTTCCATCATATCCCAGCTTGTTTTCTTGTCTAAACCCAGGAAGAGAAGATTTGCGCCAGATAGTCTCTATGTGGTACTTAAAGATTTTTGCTTGCTGGGCACTCTAGATAATATGTGAATAATGTTTTTTCTGGATGGTGTAGACATGCCAAAGCAACACAAGTTGAATCAGGGAAAGGGAGTCCGCTGAACCTGGACACTTTGTTAGGGGAGACTGTGTTTTCATCAACTCCTTACAGTTTATGTGCTTTCCACCTAATATCTTCATATTGTCTGCCAAGAATTTTACGAGTGCTTCTTGCAGGGCACCTGGGTGGCTCTGTCAGTTGAGCATGCCACTTTGCCTCAGGTCACAATTTTGGTCTGTAGAGTCTGAGTTTGAGTTTGAGCCCAGCATGGGGCTCTCTGCGGTCAGCACAGAGCCCACTTGAGATCCTCTGTCCATTTCTCCCTCTCGCGCTCTCTCTCTGCCCCTCCCCCCACTCATGATCTCTTTCTCAAAAATAAAAACACTTAAAAAGTGCTTCTTGGGATGCCTGGGTGGCTCAGTCAGTTGAGCATCCGACTTCGGCTCAGGTTATGATCTCACGGTTCATGGGTTCGTGCTCCGCATTGGGCTCTGTGCTGACAGCTAGCTCAGAGCCTGGAGCCTGCTTCAGATTCTGTGTCTCCCTCTCTCTCTGACCCTCCTCTGCACATGCTCTCTCTCTCAGAAATAAATAAAACATTAAAACAATTAAAAAAAAAAAAAGCTTCTTGCTGCAAATCTAGCTATCATTCTATCAGGTAATCCATTAATTAATTGAAATGTGCCTCGATAATGTATACAGTCATATATAGTTAATTCTAACATCTACTTTGTTTCAGCTTGGCTGCATGTTAGAATTCCCTGGAGAGCCTTACTAAATATTGGTGCTTGGATCCCAATAACTATTTGTACTATTAGTACACATAGCTAAACATTGCATAACTTCTTTTTGATATCTGACTGTTTTGATATAACCTATAGATACACATATATCCTGTGTGTGTGTGTGTGTGTGTGTGTGTGTGTGTGTGTGTATACACATTTTATTTTAAATACTCCCTATACCCAACATGGGGCTGAAACTAACAACCCTGAGATTCAGAGTCACATGGTCTACTGACTGAGCCAGCCTGCCAGCTGCCCCAATAGCCAATACTTCTTGAGGACTTACACTACATACTACACTATATTTGAGTTACCTCAATCTCTATTTTGTGGATGAGATAACTGAGGCTTATAGAGGTTAAGCAACAATCACATGCCACCAGCCATAAAGCTAGGATTTCAAATCAGATTTACCTGACTTAAAATTCTAGGTTACTTATAATGTCTTCTCAAGGGATTCACACAACCCCGGAGCCTACTGAAGAATATTAGCTTAATGGTTAAAAATGAGTGGCACATAATTAAACCAAGATAAGCTACTCAATACCTTTTTTTAAAGTTTATCTATTTTGAGAGAGAGAGAGAGTAGGAGAAAGACATAGAAAGACAGAGAGAGACAAACCCAAGCAGGCTCTGCACAGAGAGCATAGAGCCTGATGCCAGACTTGAATTAAAAAATCATGAGATCATGACCTGGGCTGAAACCAAGACTCAGATGCTTCAGTCTGAACTACCAAGGTGCTCCAAAATACTTTTTTTTTAAATGTAAAGTCTACCCACAACTTAGGGGTTAAGCTCAGGCCCCCAAGATCACATGCTGTACTGACTGAGCCAGCCAGGTGCCCCAGAATACTTTCGAGAATACATCATTACCCAAAGGAGATGCGAGTCCATACCTGTCTAAATATAATGACCATAAAAGCACAAACATTATGACTGGGTCCAAGAATCTGAACATTTTTGGACCTTGCTTTCCCTTGCCGAAATGCTAAAAATAATTTCTGCCCCTTCATTACTTCATACAAAAATATAAAGTATGAATTTGGTCATATCCTTGGCTTTGTATTGAAGAACATAATTCAAGCTTTGAGATCATGACCTGAGCCGAAGTCGGACGCTTAACTGATTGAGCCACCCAGGCACCCGTACATCCTCCTTTTTCTGTGTGGTGGTGCATGGTTACCCTGAGTTAGGTTTCTTTACAGTAGGACTGAAGGATAGGCTAGATATTATTGATCATCTTGGGGGCCAGTCGTGTAACCTTTTCCCTGTGTCAATCACCCTGTGTATCTTTTGCCAGATTCTCATTGTGTTAACATCTCTGTGATCAAGGTGATCACAGAATGCTTCTCTTCTTTGTCTTTAGGTTGAATAAACTTTGTTTCAGGAGACTGAATTTCAGGGTGGAAACAAATGGCAACATTTTAGTTCTGTAGGCTCCCGGCCCCCCTGCCCTTTTCTTCTGAAGGTAGTAATAGCACATTTGTTCCCCTAAAGTGTCCTTTTTGAGAACTGTTCTCTCCTAGGTTACTGTCTGTGGCCAAACATAACAGCAGCGAACACAATAGCACTTGCTTTGTGCCAGACATTAAGTCTTATGCACTTATTAGCTAATTCACTCCTTATACCAACCCAATGAGGTAACTACTTTTGAGTTTTCTGCAAAATACTATTATGGTCAACTTTCCTAGTTGAGCAGATTCAGATATGAAGTTAAAATTAGGTACGTGAGTGGAACTAGAACTCTGATGGAGTCCAGAAGTTTTACCACCCTACTTTTTGCTGGATCTCTTAAAGGACTAAGTGCAGAGCAATATCAGCAAAAAAGGCAGACCAAAATGATTGGGATAAAATATACCCTGGTTTCTCTCTCTTGAGATCGTATAAATCTTTCGCCTTTTACAAAATGATTGGGAAAATAATTTGTTGGCTTAGGTGACTGAGGATGGAATACGGCTTGTAAGAAGGCAAACTAGTTAGGACGTTGCTGTATTTCACATATGAGATCTCTAGGGGTAATGAATGACTAAGGTTATTTGGAAATGAATCTGCCAGGTACAGTAGCACGGTCATCTGTTACCTGTAGTTTCATTCTTTAAGACCTAGGAAAATTAACACTGGAGTAATGCACTTGAATATATTTATATCCATTCTCACAGCAACCTTGGAATTCACTCTCAGCTTTTCATAACAAAGGCTTGGAGGAAGTTAAGAAACTCATGTGCCCCAAGGTTTATATTGCTTTCCAGGTGGCAGAGCTGCTGTACCACCTACCCTGTCTGTATCTTTTAACCTGCTTAAAGCCTTAGCATATATGATGTACTGTAGTTTACAAATTCGCCTTACAATGTACAGAGGCAATGTCTTTATTCCGTACACGGATAAGGACCTCATAGGTATTGATCTTTGTTCCCAATCTTTGCGAATGCGGGAGGGGAGAGACCAGAGCTGGAGGGGGCTCGGGCCGAGACGCCGGAAAGGCCGCGCCGGAGGTGGGCGGGCGGGGCCGGAGACAGAGGCGTGGACACGCCGACCGCACACGGTCCCCCAAGGAGCTTGGTGGGCTGGTGCCGGGGTTCAGGCACTGCGTGAATGCGGCTAGAGGAGGGAACGTGAGGGCGGGGAGGGTGCACAACGGAAGGAATCAATCTCGCGGTCTCGAGTTGGAAACAAACCAACTCCCCCTCCCCATTTCCCTTCCTTAGGAAGGACGGTTTGGGGGCGGGTGGGGAAAGCGCGTCCTCGAAGCGCCCTCGCGCTCCCGTTTCCCTCCCAGCGCGCGCTCCGCCGACTCTCTCCCACCCGGGAGGCCGACGCCGGCCGCGAGTGGGGATGCGCAGCCCAGAGGGCGGGGCTCGCCGCAGGTGCCGGATGCGCTCGGCCGGGCTCGGGCGGCGGGCCCGTCCCCTTGCGTCGCGGGCCACCGCCCCCTGCCCGCCGCGCCGCCGCGCCTGGAGGGCGGGGCCGGGGCGCGCGAGGGTCCTCCGCACGCGGGCGGGCGGTGCGCGGCGCCTTGGTCTGGGGGAGCGCGGGGCGGTCTCCGCCGGCGTCGCGCGCGCTGTGTGTGAGCGGGGGCGCGCGCGCGTGCGCGCACTACAGGCGAGTGAGGGAGCGAGGAGCGGCCCGGTGTGAGTGTGGGGGTGGGGGTGGGAGCGCGCGCGCGCGCGTGTGTGTGTGTGTGTGTGTGTGTGTGTGTGAGTGAGTGAGTGAGTGGGGGTGAGGGTCAGCCAGACCGACCACGAGGCTGCGAGAAAGTGGGCGAGGGGGCGAGGGTGCCCGGCCTGGCTGCGGGAGCCGCGGCGGCGGCGGCGGCGGAGAAAGGAGGCGGCTCCCGGCATCCCGCCCCCTCCCCCTCCTCTCCTCCGCGGACTTCCAGCCCGCCCTGCAGCCCGCGGTCCCTCCCGGAGGCCCCAGCCCGGCTCGGCCAGCCCAGAGCGAGGGAGGAGCCGCCGCAGCCAGGTGAGCCGTGCGCTCGCTTTCCTCCTCCGGTGCGGTGGCGAGAGGCGGAGGCGCGCTGGCCCCCCGCGCTCCTCCCCCAAATGGTCACTGCGGCCCTAGGGTCTCGGCGACCCGCAGGGGCTCGGCCCGGGGAGGCGGCCGGGGCTTGCGAAGGCCGCGTGGGGTGGGGGTCGCAACGCCGCCGGGGGCGGTTGGGAGCCCCGGTTGGGTCGGTGTGCCGGGAGGGGGACCGAAGGAGCCGTGTGCGTGTGACGGGCGCGAACTGTCGGGGACAGGCGGCGACCTCCGGCGTGAGGTGTGTCTCCCCCGCGTTCGCGAGGGGGTGTGGTGACCCTGGGGATGCTCGCCCGAGTCAGGCGCGCGTCGTGCCTACCTGTCCCCCCGCGGGTGGCGATGCCTCCTGCGCCCGCTTCCATCGGACACATTCCTGTGGTGTGACCGCGGGAGGCGGCTGTGCCGCTGGTCTGCCCTGAGTGTGCCTTAAATTCCACGGTTTCCTCCTTGCGTGTGAAATTTTAGAGAGTGTGACAGTCATTGCTCTTTTTCCTGTGACAGGCCTGGGAATCAGAATGGGGCAACAAATAATCGCTTGTCTTATTTGCGATTTAAAAAAATCGATTTTTTTAAAAAGCATTTGGCCGTGTTCCAAAAATTTGCCTCCCCACCCCTCCCTTAAAAAATACCCCAAATTAGTTAGGAAATAATAAGTTCAGATGTGCGTTACTAAGGTGTCCTTATCTCGGATTGCTGGTTTGTAATCCCCGTATTTCATCCCACTTGTAGGTGTGAATAGAGAGGGGGCGTTAATTGTATTCTAGGAGTGAGGTTATTATAAGCTCACTGTATGTGTTGAATGTGACTTCAGTGTAAATTCTGTTAGCGTGCTGTTGATTTTCCCATTAATTGCATACATTGTCTTCACATCTTTGGGGGAGTTGGTTTAATTCTAAATCTGTATGGAAAGTATACGAGGCAGCCTAATATGGAAGATACTCTTTTTGTGTGTGGGCTTAATGTTTTTTGTATTTACCAACCTTCTTAATTATTAGCTGCAACCGTGAAAATTTAAATACTATGTACATTTATTTACTTATTTCACACACTATTGGGCAGTTTAAACGTCTTTTTTTTTTTTTCTCTCTCTCCCCTGTTTCTTATAAAGAATTCATTGTCAGATTCCTTTAAGATAGTCATTTGGAATAAAACACTCTGGATTCCAGCCGTGGAGATTGAACATTTATTTTAGAATGACAACCTCTAATTTTGAAAAATAACAGTCATAGTTAAATTTCTTTTCGAATGGTTGCTGTGGGTTATTTGGTGAGCGTGAGGCCTATTTTGTTTGGAGGTAATCTTTTGTTTATTCCTTTCCATCTTGGTTAGTGCAGTGAATTTCCTTCTTTCATGTCATAGATTTACTTGTTAGTTTGGCAAGATGGCTGTTGATGTTTTTATCTTTCTCTTTCTACTTCTCCCCCCTCCACCCCGCCTCTTTTCTTATACCCCCACCAGGTGCTGGAGTCTGCTTGTTGGGGAGGGGGCCACTCTGATTCTGACGACAGAGTGCTAAGAACATCAAATACAGTCACATAGAATCCTCCACTCAGTGAAGATCCTTCTTCCGTTCCTCCACTCCCCCTGCAGGGGGGTAAGGAGCTGTAGAGCTAACCTTTAGACCTTGGGCTACCACCTAAAATTCCACTTAGTTGCTGGTGGGTAGCTTTTAATCTTTTTCACCTTCTTAGATTCATTATTGAGTATCCGTAGCATCTGAGGGTGGAGGGAAGAGTGACAACAGGAAATTTCCCTTTTTTCCTTTCCCTTCTCATTCAGTCCCGTTTTCTCTCTCTACAAGGAAATCACTAGCAATGTTTCATAAATCCTCTATCCCTTCTTAGCTGTATAATGAAGAAATACACTAAAGAGATCTTTTTTTTTTTTTTTTTTTTTTTAACATCTGACCAATGAATGCCAGCCACACTTCAGGCATTCGTGTGTTGCAGGCATGGGATGAAACATGGCTTTAAAAAAAAATATCTCCCAATTCTTTTCCTCAGTTGGTCTCCACCTGGGATTATGGGGGTAAGTCACTAGATTGATTTTTCAAAACTTCTCCCCTCTCTGTGAACTGAAAGACATCATAACACTGGAAGGCATTTGGGGAAGGAGACAGAACAGAGCCATTTGATACACAGGTTGAGAAATAGTTCCATCTTCCTCTGGGGACTGGGCAGAGACCTAAACTGAGTAAAAATGGGTGGAGGAAGAGCCTCCGTACATAGAACAACATGGGAAGGTGAGAGAAAACCGAACGTTAAGTAAGGAAGCAGTTTGTGTGTTGCTTACAACTGTTTAGGAGGTTAATTTAATGATGTGGATTTGTAGAGAGTTTATGGCAGGTTAGTTTACAAAAAGTAATCTGCAAGTGGAATTAAGTCAGAAGCATATTGGAAAAGAGCTTTGAAATTATACTGTTATTTTAAAGTCTGGGAGTAGATTGTGATACGAAGAATAAAAATATGTTAATTTTTTTTTCAAATGTTTTATTTCTGAGAGAGAGAAAGAGAGATAGAGACAGCATGAGCAGGGAAGGGTCAGAGAGAGAGAAAGACACAGAATCTGAAACAGGCTCCAGGCTCTGAGCTGTCAGCACGAGCCTGACGTGGGGCTCAAACCCACGAACTGTGAGATCATGACCTGAGTCGAAGTAGGACGCTCAACCGACTGAGCCACCCAGGCACCCCAAAATATATTAATGTTAACTGTACTGGCTGTGTACACAGTTGTTTCAAGAGAGGTTGAGTAGGAGAGATTAGGTACAGATATTGGGGAAATTATCTTTCATTATTTGGGAATTTTTCTTGTCATATTAAGGGTTGTTAAGAAATAATATACTCCCTCCCAAAATATCTGTACATGATGTATTTTAGATTTGTGTACAGTATGTGTCTGTGTACATATTAGGTTTGCCGAAAAGGACTGACTTTCTGGCTTCATGATCACTTATGCCATGGTGTTTTTTCAATGTTTTCTTTTCCAGTGTGTTTTTCCTTTCAAAATTGGCCTGGTGGACAAAAGCCACAGAGCTAGCCAGCTTTACTCCCATAGAGCCTGGTCTGCATGGACCCAATCTGCTTATTTTTTTTTTTAACTCCTTTTGCTGAAATTACAGGTTTTTTTCCTTCTGACTTTGTTAACAAAGCTAATTATTTTGGGATGAGATGTATAGTGGTGATGAAAAGTAGCATTAGGCTTGTTTTTTGTTTTTTTTTTCCCCCCTAAATGTTTACTTTTGAGAGAGAGAGAGAGAACACAGGGTGGGGGCAGAGAGAGGCAGGGACAGCTGGATGTGGGGCTCGAACTCATGAACCATGAGATCATGACCTGAGCCAAAGTCAGTTCATTTTTTATGAGAAACTGTACAGATAAATTAGGAATTTTTGACAGCTATTTTTAGTTCTTATGGAGTACACATTTGCCTGCTATTAAATATTGAAAATAGCTATGTTTTTTGATCCTGCCTTATGATTCAATGTAGCAAACCCCTTTAAAATAATTCCTAACCCCTAATGCTTAACTTTTAGCTGTCATACATAACAGCTTGCTGGAGATAATAGAGAGTAAAGTAAGGATTCTGTCTTCATGGAGTTCACAGTCTAATTTCATTGATCCTTGTTTGTTTTCATCTGGCAGTCTGTTCTTCCAGCAGTGTTTGGAGGGATCCGCTAGATTCTTGTAAAATGTGTATCAATTTATGAATTGATAAAGTAACAAATAAAATAATATCAAAGTAAACATATGCTAAATTAACTTTTACTACCTTTCTTTCAAAAGTGGCAGTATATCACCAAGTTGTAACCAAGACAAAATTTACAGTTGTTGTATCACTGTACTGTACACCTGAAACTGGTACAACACTGTATATTAACTCATTGGAATTAAAATAAAAAAAAAAATCCAAAACCTACCCCTTACTTAAATGTTTTTACTCTAGTCAGCTCCTTACTTTTCATTTCTTTCTCTCTCTCCTATCCCTCTCTCCCTCCCCAGCCTTTTCTGATACTAGCTCTTGACTTCATGTTCTTAGAAATATAGAAATAAGGTCTCCTAAATAGAACATGGATTTGCTATATTATTTTTTTTTTTATTTTTTTTTTTTTTAATGTTTTATTTATTTCTAGGAGAGAGAGAGAGAGAGACTGAGCAGGGGAGGGTCAGGGGTCAGAGAGAGAGGGAGTCACAGACTGAAACAGGCTCCAGGCTCTGAGCTGGCAGTCAGCACAGAGCCCGACGCGGGGCTCGAACCCACGAACCGCGAGATCATGACCTAAGCGAAAGTCGGACGCTTAACCGACTAAGCCACCCAGGCGCCCCGGATTTGCTATATTAGATCACACTAGTACTGTCTTACTGCTCCACTCTCGCATATTTGGCAGCATTTTAGACTTTGATAGTTTATCAGAAAGCTACATTTTGGAAAGTCATCCAGGTTTGTCCAAACAGGAACTTTGAAATCTTTCCTGATTCTTTGTGGCTCTTAATTGCTAGCTTATTCCTTTGACAAGTGATGTAGTTAGCCATATCTGTAAAACCTTCAACTTGAATATATTAATAGCTTCCCAACTCACTTTTCAAGTTAATGTCCAGAAAGAAAATATGGAAGGAAGGCCCAATGTTTAACATGTTAAACATGATAAACTTTTTTTTAATAAAGATTTTATTTATTTATTTTTAGAGGGAGAGAGAAAGATAGGGCATGAGCAGAGAGGGGGTGGGGGGAGAGAGGATCCAAAGTGGGCTTTTACCCTGACACCAGCAAGCCTAATACAGGGCTCAAACTCATGAACTGTGAGATCATGAGCTGAGCCCAAGTAGGACACTCAATGGACTGAGCATCCAATGTTTATTTTTGAGAGAGAGAGTGTAACCAGGAGGGGACAGAGAGAGAGAGAGAGAATCCAAAACAGGTTGTAGGCTCTGAGCTGTCAGCACAGTGTCCTATGTGGGGCTCTAACTCACATAAACTGTGTGATATTATGACCTGAGCAAAAGTCAGACACTTAACTGACTGAGCCATCCAGGCGCCCCTAGATTTTGTTTATATTTTCAAAGTAATTTCTGTACCCAGTGTGGGTCTTGAACTTACAACCCCGAAATCAAGAGTTGAACGCTCTACTGACTGAACTACCCAGGTGCCCCTAAACATGATGATGAGCTTTGAGTAACCCATACTACGCATTGCGTCTCAGAAGATTTTGCAAATTTTGCGCCATGTTCCAGAAAGAGATACATTGATTTAACATTCCTCTATTAAGTGAAATCATTAGAAATTTTATTTGGGTTACTGAGAAAACTTTATTTGTGAGAAAGCTTTTTAAAGTTTATTCATTTTGAGAGAGTACAAGTGCGGGAAGGACAGAAAGAGAGGGAGAAAGAATTCCATGTAGACTCTGCACTGTCAGCACAGAGCCCAAAGCTCTATCTCAAAAACCCTGAGATCATGACCAGATCTGAAATCAAGATTCAGATGCATAACTGAGCCACCCAGGCACTCCTTGAGAAATCCCTATACCCAATGTGGGGCTTGAACCTACAAACCCAGAGATCAAGAGTCATATGTTCTACCAACTGAGCCAGCCAGGTGCGCCATTCAGAGAAAACTTTTTTAAAAGTTTAGTTTTATACACCAGACTATTTTTATTTTTTTATTTTTATTTTTTTATTTTTTTTAAAAGGTTTTTATTTATTTCTAGGAGAGAGAGAGAGAGACAGCGTGAGCAGGGGAGGGTCAGAGAGAGAGTGTGTTTCATATTCTGTAACAGGCTCCAGGCTCTGAGCTGGCAGTCAGCACAGAGCCCGACGCGGGGCTCGAACCCACAAACCGCGAGATCATGACCCAAGCGAAAGTCGGACGCCCAACCGACTAAGCCACCCAGGCGCCCCACACCAGACTATTTTTATACACCAGACTGTTAAATTACCTGTAGCTTTGAATAACAAAGCTTTGATTAGCAAAGCTACAGATAATTTAAGTAAAAGTAACATTTTTCTCATCTTTTAGTTGAATATGTGTAAAAATTTGCATGTTAATATGCTTATGATATCATGTTTGTTTTTCTTCAGTTTTCTTTTCATTGTGGTAAAATACAGCGTAACATTACCTTCTTAATCATTTTTAAGCACACAGGTTCATGATATTAAATATATTTCTATTCTTGTGCAACTACCATATTCATTTCTATAACTCTATGTATTGCAGAACTGAAACTGTAGACCCATAAAACTAACTCCTCATTTCCCCAAAACCCCAGCCTGTGGCAACCACCATTCTACTTTCTGTGAATTCACTATGTTATATGCTGGTGCATAATGTCCTCCAGGTTTATCCATGTAGCAGCGTGTGTTGGAATTTAACTCCTTTTTAAGGCATTGTATTTATCTTCTGTATCTTACTTACTTACTCATCTGTCAGTGAACACTTGGGTTGCTTCCACCTCTTAGCTGTTGTAACATTGCTGTGAAGATGTGTGTGCAGATACCTCTTTGAAGACTCTGCGTTCAGTTCTTTTGGTTATATACCTAAAAGTAGAATTACTGGATCATACAGTAATTCTATTTTTAATTTTTTGAGGAACTGCCATACTATTTTTCATAACAGCTGCACCATTTTACATTCCAGCCAACAATTTTCAAGGCTTCCATTTTCTCTACATCCTCCCCAGCGTTTGTTATATTTTGTT